CTATCTGGGTCAATAAGACAAACGAAATATAGTATCAAATCGTCGAAATTCTTCCTATATGTATGTTAGTACAACGCGTGTGTTCAAATAATGGGCATAATCCTAGATGAGGGTGCCACCCTTAAAATCTCTCACCCTTAGCATCACCCTGTCCTTGCATTATGCCCTTTTGCGTCATAGTTCGATTTTATCTAGCGGAATATCTGCAAATCACCCCCATAATGATCGGCGGTAGCGAAATGTCTGACCTTGGCAGGAAAATGTCAAAGACAGAGGATAATGTTTCATTAATGTGAATTTAGGAGCAATGATAATTAAATTTATTATCTTTAAAAGACTTAGAAGAAGTACACAACGGTTTACTCGTAGCGATTTTTACCAAGAGACATTTTTTACGTAAAAAATCACGGAAATGTATATTTTTTTACTCAGTAGTTTTATACAGGTACGGACGAAAAGTTATTACTCTTTAAAACAGTTAAAACACATGTAGGTGGCGCCCCCTACAAATAAGAGTCATATTGACATCAAAATCAAATTTCTCATGTCAAAAAACTCCCAGACACATAGACAAACAAATAAAAAGAGACTGGCAAATTAAATGGCAAAGAGAGGGACAACGTTCCCGTAGCGCAACTCAGAACGCAAAATTTGGTTCTATTTTATGTTGATCTGCTTATTACGTCCATTGGGCCCACTATCTCATTCTAATATAACAAGAGAGAAAGAAGCAGCCGTATAAAACGTAATTTCTAAATAGAACAATCGCCTTTCGTCATCATGACAACCAAGATGACAACATTCTGACAATTCGTCATGTTTGTTAATTTTTCTTTTGGTGATTTACCTTTTTTTTCTAAACTCTCCATTTTATTGACTTATGGATATGGATAGGGAACAAATTCCTTTGTTTCAGATAGGTATTTATATTTTGTTACTTATAATTTTAGGTTATACTATTGGTTATTTTATTTGCTGCAGGAGCCAGTATCATCTATTTTTCATATGTATTGGTACCCCCTTTCTCTGATAGATATGTTAAAGACACTCGGTAAAATAAAAGTAAGTATGTTATATTTATCAACTTATTAAGAAAAAAGTAGAAGTAGTAGTGTCAAAAATATTTCGAACCTCTCTTAACATAACAAATTAATACATTTCATTTTTTTCATTAGAAACTTAATTAATATACCTATTTTACTTTTCTGTTAGAATTAAAAATGGACCTGAAAATGGTTCAGGGTCATGATTCTAGTAAAGTCTTCTTGGAACTTCACTTTGTTATTGCAATTAGGCAGATTGAGATTTTTAATGCCCTTTAAAAAAATTGGCTGATAGTTTCCTGCAACAGTCAGTTCTTCTGCATTTAAAATTGGTAGGTTGGTGGAATAAACACTGTTATTTTTTGTTATTATATTGTAAAAAAATTATTTATTTTTATGTATAAATAAATATGTTTATAAAACAGTACAATTATTGCTTTTTTTACAATTTCCCTTATAATACCTAGTAGTAGTATTCTTTGGTTCTGAAAGAAACTGAAAATTTTCACTTAAACTGATTTATGCCCTACACCACGTAAAGGGAACGTCCCTTTACGTGGTATAGGGAATAAATCAGTTTAAGTGAAAATTTTCAGTTCGTTCAGAACGAAAGAATACTACCATAGTATAAGGAAGCTAGTAGATTTACTCCTTGTCAAATCCTTTGTTCTTTTCACAGATATGTATTTAGTTCGCCGTAATTTCACAGATATGTATTTAGAAAAATATGAGTTCCCAATAAAATAAAATAACATAAATTGATCATCGAGTAAAAACTTGCTTGAAAACAGAATGTTTTCACATTTCGTGTAGGTAACAATTCTTCTGAATCTGAAAATCTTCTGATGGGAAGAAATGCGGAAAATATATCTAATGACATATTTTTATATTATTATCTATTTCAGAAATTTTCTACAATTTTTTTTTGATTTAAAATAAGTTTAATTTTCTGTAGATAATTGGATTCTATCTTGCACAGATAACCTTTTTGTCCTGCAGCAGGTGATGGAAAAAAAGATAGCAGTAGATCAAGAAGTCCATCTAGCATTTATTGATTTGGAGAAAGCGTACGACTCTATTCCCCGCAGCAAGATATGGGAAGTCTTGAATATCTTAGAAGTAGATAGACCTTTGCTTAAGATAATAAAAGAGCTATATAAACAAAATGAATCGTACGTTAAGATAGGACACAGACTATCTAATCCAATTAACACCACAAAAGGGTTGTGACAAGGATGCAGCTTATCTCCTCTGATCTTCAACGCTTACGTCGAAGTAGCCCTTAGGGAATGGAAGACGAAATGTCAAGGTATGGGAATACCCATTGGGGACAACACACTATTTACCCTGAGCTTTGCAGACGATCAGGTCGTGATTGCGCAGGACTCATACGATCTAGAGTTCATGACTAAGAGGCTTTATCAAGAATACAACAAATAGGGACTTCAGGTTAGTCTAAAGAAGACCGAATACTTAGCTGTCAATTCCAACGCTTGTTTTGAAGTCTTCATTAATGATAACGTCCAGATTCAACAACAACCATAAATACCTGGGTGCTACTATCAACAACGAGGGTTTGGGCAAAGTAGAAAAACAAACCCGAATTCAGAAGAGCAAACAAGTTATTGGCTGTCTTAACAGCCTCTGGTGGGACCGAAACTTGTCTGCAACAACTAAAAAGAGACTTGGAGAACATTGGTAGAGTCAGTTCTTTGCTATGGTTCAGAGCTATGGACTCTGAGTGCAGACGCGAAGAGCAAAATCCAAGTTGTTGAAATGGACTACCTTAGAAGAAGTGCAGGTATATCTAGGATGGAAAAAAAGACAAACATCGAGGTCAGGCGTATCATGAATGCATCGGAGGAGACAGTACTGGATCGAATCGAAAAATCCAGCTTAAAACGGTTTGGACATGTTCTGCGTATGCCGGAGAACAGGTGGCCAAAAAGAGTTTTTCAATGGGCTCCCCAGGGCAGAAGAAAGAGAGGTAGACCTAGAAAATCCTGGAACGGAACGGTTACGGAAGCAATGGAAGCTCGTAACCTAGAAGCTGATGACGCTCTAAATCGAGATGTGTGGCGTAGGGTAACGGGAAGGCAGCAATAGGCTGTAGTTGGAAATGAGTATTAAATACTTAAACCAAATCCCGTTTATATGTATGTATAACTGGATTCTATTTAAAGCACACTGCGGTGTTGTCATTCTATTTCTTATTTACTAAAAAACTTTGGTTAAAAACATTATATATGAAAAGTGGCAAAAAACTAGAGTGAATATAACTCTATTAATACTTAGCTATGTTTTCTTAAACATGACAAGGACACCAGAATAAATTCGTGTAGAAAAATTTACTTTATCGTATACAGGGTATTTTTTATGGCGTCACCAAAATCGTAATATTTAAAATGTTGTATCACATTTTTTTTAAATGCAACACCTAGTATATTATTTTTCTTTCAGATGTAGAATTAAAAAGTGAACATTTTTTGTGTTTAAAGTATTCTTAAATTTTTAGGCGTTTTGCAAATATTTTCTGTATTTCATTACATATGGGATTTTCAACGATAAAATATCAGACAAAGATCGTATTAGGTGGCTTTGATAAAAATTTACTGTTGAAAGAGCTATATGTAATATAATACTGCGAATATCTGCGAAACCGTTAAAAATTTAGAGAAACACTTTAAATAAAAAAATGTTCACTTTTTAATTCTGCATCTGATATTCGACAGCTTGCTGCCGATATTCGACAGCTTGCAAAAACTGGCAGAAAATATTTGCGAGAGTGCAACTACTCTTTTCCTTAAACTATGATACTACTAATAATGGCTAATTTAAATTTCCCGCCAGCCAGAATGTGCGGTAATACGATACGTTTTATACCTATCCCTTTCTTTTTCATATGAAGCACACATGGTAAAGAAAGATAGCAATAAAGACGTACGTCCTGCCATGGTCCTGCTAATTGGTTTTAAAATTGTTATTCTGAGTTGCGCTACGGGAACGCGGTCCCACTCTTTACCATGGAATTTGTCAGTCTCTTTTTATTTATTTGTCTATGCCCAGACCATTGCCTGGAAACTTATATGGTGAAATTTTGATAAGATAATTTAGTACTCACTAAAAACACGGTATGTCGCTAGTGGTAGGAAAAATAATTTTTAGAGGTTACTAGTTTATTTGGTTGCCTGTGATATGCATATACAGGGTGTTTCCTAATTAATCTAAAAAATAAAAAATCGTTAGAAAACGACTTAAGGCGGGCTCTTAATAAGTATATTTATTTTTTTCTCGGCAACCGTTTGATAAACAAGAAAAACACAAAAGATCAATTTTGTTGAAAAAGGATGGCCAGTCAAGAAAAAATATATTTCCTTTAAAAAAGCAGTAGTGTACCATTTATGTTAAGCAAAATATCGATTTTTTTAATTTTTAACACCCTGTAGATCAGAAAAAAAGTACTTTAGACCCAATGGTTATATAAAAATTGTTTTAAGAACACATGAGGAATCACACCACAATTTTTTAGACTAATTAGAAAACACCCTGTATATTGTCAACTTGACAATGATTGTTGATAAATCAAAAAATACCTTTTCTGTGAAAAAAGCCCGATTTTCGCAGGAAAAATTTCGGTTCTTATTGAATTTGGGCCTGCGTCTGCAAATACCCCCGGTATGTTTTTTAATATTCTATCTATCTAAATTTTAAATATCATAGTTAGAAATAGTTTTATTATTTATTAACTGTAAAAATGGTATACTTATAAGTTTTATCAAATATTGTGATTTACTTTCTACCTTGTAGTCAAAATTTATATTTAATAAACTGTAAAATACATATATTCTTATGTTTTATTAAAGTTATAACTCGTTATAACTCAACAATAATAGATCTGTTAGGTCGCAGTTGTTACCACACATTTTGTATTCTACATATCAATAATAGCAAACAAAATAATCTCCAATATTTATTTAGTATTTAAGTTTTAGTAATTATTTAATTTAATTTTATTTTTTAAGCACTCACTTTCTCCAATACTGATATATTAAAATCCCACTATTTGGCCCTTTACAGTTCTGTAAATCTATAAAACATAATAATACCATACTTGTTTCTTCGCTTCACCACGCCTGTTATACAGGACTTGCTTCTGCTGCTGGAGGTTGTTCACCACCCCTATTACCAATCTGTAGCTCATTAAAATCAGCATCGACATCCAAAAACGAAGTGATTTTCCCCCCAGTAACTTGGTTAATATGATTCAGAATACCCTGTATGTTCGGCGGCACTTGCCCGAACTCATCCTTGATACATTTCAGGTAGCTTAAAGTCCATTTGTAGTGCGACTCGGAAATCTTTTCGTAGTTCTTCGACAGGAGCATTATAATGCTTATAGTCATTGCCAGCATATCGACGCAATCTTGGAAGGGGTCTACCATTCGGGCAGAGTACTCTGAAGGTGCGTGGTATTGATCAAACTCTGTCGACCAAGGGCTGGCGGAGATGGTTTGGGATATCTTGTACTGTCTGGGACAGGCATCAAAATCGGATATGTCATTTTCCAGGTCTATGGCGGGTTGGGATATGAGACTTTTTCTCACGTTCCTGTCGCTTTGGACGCCTAGTCTAGATCTACTTCTCACGGAAGACCGTCTTCTGGCTTGGCTTGCGATCGATGATCTTCGGCGGATGAATGCTCCTTCCTGGACGGGGATGTTGGCTATGCCTCCGGCTCTAGGGGCGGCAGTTAGGATCTCCGGATTGGTGGTGTTGATAAAGTACGACGTGTTATTCATTTTTGAGCGATTTCTTTTGACTATTTCCTATAGTTGTTCACGATATGATTTGGATTATTTTTTATAATAAAAAAAACTTTGACTTTGACTGATGATTCAATATGACAAAGTTGTATTATATGTCAAAACACGACCAAACCTATTTTATATATTATGGCGTTTCTTTGAGGTGTAAACGACCGTATCCATAGATAAAGAAAACAAGTTTGCATTGGAATAATAAAATAATAATAAATAACGCTTTATTGTACAAAAAGCCAAAATAGCTTCATCGACAAAGCATTTAAAAAACAAACAAAAGCACAAAAAATATAGAAATAATTCTATTAACTGAAAAGAAAATTACCTTTCCAAAAATATAGCACACTTGATATTTTGTTATAATCCCTTTCGAAATACAGAATTTTTAAAAGTTCGTCACTTTTAACTAGTAGGCTTTGGACCCCTTATTGATTATATACCCTTAATGGAACTCGAAAGCAGATTTTTCCAGCAAGACGACGCACCGCCTCTGAACGCTGAAGTTATCAGCAAATTTTTGCAGACAATTTCAAGAATAATTGAATAGCTAACCAAGATTCCAGCCGTTGACCGTCGAGGCAGCCTGACTTAGTGCCCATGGAACTAATCCTATGGATATATTTGCGAAGAATAAAGGTTCCTTATACTTACTTATAATCTAGATAAGAATTAGAAATACTTAGCAGTTATGAGAGGGTATCTTTCACCCCCACTGAGTTAATGAATTCCGCGAGAAATGTTCAAAAACTGCCCCGTCTGTCCACAACAGAAGACGGTCGATATGTCGAACACCTGTAGCAAAATCTCATGTCTTGGTTGTAATTTGATTATTATTAGATATAGTTTAAATGTGCTGATGTTGGTTAAAAATATTTTAAATTGTTATAAAATTCTGCATCTCTCATAGCAAATATTATTTTCGTTTTAATTGATGCTCACAGCTAGAATTTTTTTGCATTACAGCCGGTGCCATTCAAAGCCTACTTATTTAAAGCGGGCGAATTTTTATATACTCTATATCTCGAAGAGGAATCGAGCAAAATATCAAGTGTATTATATTTTTGGAAAGGTAATTTTAAATTCTTTTCAATAAATTAAAAATATAGAGGGTGTCCCATATAAAAAATCAAATTTTCTGATGATAATTCTTAAATTATTAATTTTCAAAAAATTATACTTAAACCATTAAATTCTACGTAAAAAGGTGCTTTGGAAATGTTTTCATAAAAATACAAAATTTTCCATAGCAAAAAAGTTACAGCGATTTGTTAAAAATGCATATTTTTGAAAAACACCCTGTAACTCCGAAACGGTAACAGATATCGATATGCGGTTTTCACCATCATGTTTTTGACAAAAACTGAGCTCCAGACACCGATATTAGTTTTTGTCTATCTCCTATAGAAGAGGGTGTTTCCATTTAAAAGCGTCAAATTCGACCTACCCTGTACAGTCGTTACTGTCCCTTTTTAAAATTACCGTAAATTGCTTAAAATTTATTGTTGTTTAAATATACATTTTCTCTGAATTTATTTAGGAATTATTGGGAAATGTAAACATAAATTACGGCAGCTAATTGATGTTGAGATTTGTGAGTGCACGACAGAGTGGAGAATGTGACAAAAATTTGCCTAAAAGCATTCTTGGCAAACACTGAAACATTTTATTGGTCTATTAGCCATCGTTCTTCGATATAATGACTAAGTTTCATCTTCTCTATTTATAGAATCGAATAAATTCATTGATTGGGCAAATAATTTGCTACACAATTTATTTATTTATCCTATTTATTAGTGTATGTGTTTATGTATCAGCAAATACCATACAATCGAAAAAATCTTTTTGAACGTTGTTTTCTTTGTTTGTGTAGGTATTTCCAAAGATTTAATAGGTATATAAATCACAATTGTAAGATTATTCTGAATATAGGGCACAAAACAGATATAAAATACAGAACATGCCAGATACGACAGCATATCTTAATGTAGATTGCTGTTCTAGTTGCGGTTCTGGCGGAATACAAAACATAATCTATGGTTGTAATAAGCTATTGCAAGATATTCTGTATAGATATCTAAACATCCTATTGGAAAACAAGCATAGAATAGTAATAGGGCCATTTCGTCTTGAGATATCCAAAATAAGAAGATAAAATATTAAGCATTTCATTAAAATACTTAGAATTCGCAAAAAAGAGGAAGACAGTTAATTGCTAACTTAAGTCCAAAAAAAATTAAATTTTTGTGAATTATACAGGGCGAGTCTTAAATAAGTGTAATGTATTTTTGCCCCAGGAAACATGTCTATGAGGATTTTTTTCGCGAAAAATGTAATTGAAAATTTGGAATTTTTTTTAGAAAGTTTTTATTTAAAAAATAATATCTTGATAATATGGCAACATAGGTAGTATATTAAATTTGTAAGAAAGAAAACTCCAGTGGTTTTGAAAATTTAAGCCAAAAATGTTTTTTTTTAAATCTTAAAATTAGGCAAAATAACTCGGTTATTTTGGACTTATTTCAAAAAACGGTAAAAACAAAATATGTTTCTTTTATCGAGATCTACGGTCCCTGAAAATATTTGCACTTATATGAGACTCATCCTGTATATAAGTAATTCTAAAATATATTAGATCTCAGTTATTATAATAAAGGAACATTTTATTCTATATTTAAGGCCGTAAAATGAATATTATTAAAAAATCTAAAAAGAAGGAAGTAGATATCAATTAACATAATATATGTAAAAAAAATCCCACGAAAAAATATAGAGGTGTCAGCCATATGTCGATTTTCTGGGTTGTGGTTTTGCCTGAAGTATTTTTTTTTTCATTTCACTCAATAAAGTCGTTAAATCAGTTGTATACAGAATGTCTCAGAAAATATTTCCCTTGAAATCACTAATTTGAACAAAAAAGGACATTTTCAAAAAAAAAATTATGTAGAAGAAATATTTTTGCATATCTAAAATTTGGGAAAAACATTCTTGGGAAAAAGGTAACAAAGTAAACATTTATTTACAGGTAAAATCCCATAAAAAAAACTAGTTTTCGTTTAGTAACTAAATTCTTGAAAGGTATATACAGGGTGGCGCACCTCATTCTCCTCGGTTGTTATTTCAAAAGCAACACCCTGTATTTTTTATCAGAATTTTTGATACACCTGTAATTAAACGAAATAATCAAATTTTTCAGTAAAGCTTCTTCCTTTGGCTTAAAAGTCAACACAAGAATCAATTTTGAAACGCAGTGTACAGGGTGTTGACAGTTTATTTCTTATTATAGCATGCCTATAAATATCTTTAAATATCTCAAAAACCAAAGCTTTTAAACATATTTAACCCTTGTAATCAATGCCTTATTTTGTGTCCAAGGATCCAAATATGAATTAAAATACAGGGTGTTCCATTAGAAAAAATATAAGTTTGGCGTAGATCTTAGTTCTGACAAACCCTGTACATTTCAAAATAATTTTAAATTATGCACATTGCCTTCCCACACACACCCATAAAATATTTTGTTTCTACATATTTTCGTTTTTGTATAATCAACCGAGGCGAATGAGGTGCGCCATCCTGTATATTAATAAATATGAAGATAAATACAAAAGTATTCCTTAAACACACTATGTAAAATACGTATAAAATTTAGGAAAAATGTCAGAAGTGAGGGAGAGGTAGGTACTTAAAAATTATTATACTTATTAAAATCTATGCATGGATTTCTTCTGTTATATAAATAGTGTAACTAATCCTACTTTAATTTATTTATTTAGATGAAAATTTCACACCTCTACTTTTCAACCAATAACATGCTTTAATGTTGACTAGTTACCATGGCAACTGAAAAAATTTCCGGAAATTTTTTCGAGGCGCCACGAAACTTTAGTGGAAATTTTTTGACAGTTGAAAAGGTAAACATAAGATCTACAATCATAATGTGAATGAACTACAATGTCTATATATTGAAATATTACCCATTTGAGTTTTAGCAATACCTTAGCCAACTTAACAAATTGAAATTATTTTAAAAATGTCATGTTGGATTAATATTTTTTTTCAAATTTAGGTGTGAAATTTTCTTACCGAATACCACGCAAGCTTAAATTATTCCTGGAAATTTTCTTTCGGGCACGAATATTTTAGGAAAATTATCCCTCGTCTTCGACTCGGGATAATTTTCAAAATATTCGTGCCCTCAAAAAAATTTCCGAAAATAATTTAAGCTCTTGTGATATTATAAGTGAAAATTACAGTTAATTAAAATAATTACATTTTAAATCAATTTTACTGATTCAGGCGTTTTGTTAAGTAAACATTTTTCTGCTGAATTATACTCTAATTATTTTTTTCGAGTGTTCTTTCCAAGAAGCAAAACAAAATTTTATCGCCCCCAAAACAGAAACAACGCTAATGGGATAAGACGTATCCAGAAATTACGATGCTTTAAGGGATAAAATGCCTGGAACGAATTCCTTGATGTTACTAATTCGGTAGAAATGCTGTCTGTCGCGGCACCCCACCACAAAAAAAGCGACATTAACTGTTACTTAGTCACACACCAATCGGCAAAAGACAAAAACCTAATTTTACTTTTATCCCAGCCACCCTTCTGTCAATTTCTAACTGTTTTCTTCGTCGGGATAATGACAAATCCATTAGGAGAGGTATTTTAAATATGCTGCTATTGCCAGACGAAGATTTTTACACAGATTTTTACACAAGGGTACGATACAGTGTAGGTAATGTAGGTAATTTAAAATTATTTTGAAATATACAGGGTGTTTCAGAAATTAAGATCCATACCAAAGTTGTATTTTTTCTTATGGAATACCCGGTATTTTATTTCATTTTTGGATTCTTGGGCCCGAAAAAAGGCATTTATTATAAGGGTTAAATATGTTTAAAATCATTGGTTTTTGAGATATTTAAAGATATTTAAATATGCATGCTACAATAGATAGGAATAGGAAACCCTAATATAGTTTGAAAGAGCATTTGAATCTGCTTCGATTTATTTAAAAAAATACAGGTTGTTGTATTTGAAATAACGAAGTTATTAGGTAAATTATAGGTAAAACAATAGTAATATTCAAATTTAT